ACACACACACACACACACACACACACACACACACACAACCCCACTCCGTCATTAACAGCTTGTATTGCGTTGTATTGCGTGATTGTTAATATAATAAATGAAAGCTCATTCCCACCATAATTTTTTTTCTTGTGGGGGTTGGAAGGGGGGGTCGCAGCATGCACTCACCAGCTGAGTATTTTATCCAAAAGCCAGACACAAATATATGCCTTTTAGTCCAACATTATGCACAGTTTTAATTGTTTTAATTATTTTTTTTTTACTTTTCTATCTTTTGTATTTTTGATTAAACCAGTTTTCCATCTTATAACTGAGAAGAACACTCAGTTGGGGAGGAGGTCAGCTGTGATTTCTGTGTAATCTCTGTCTTCAGTCCATCTCAGACCCCTAGTGGCAACTCTTAACCACTTAAGGGTCCTCTGGAGCAGTCTGAACTTTTCTTGAGAGTAAGAGTGATTCTTAGCCTTAAGAATTTTGATAACTGGCACTTACACTTAAGTCTGAGAGTATAGGAGCAAATCTAAGAAWTTTTCAGCACTTAAGTCTAAAMATCCAYTCTAAGAAGTTTTATAAATGCGGGCCCTGATCTTTGCATCCCGTTGTTTGTGCTCTGTTTGGGTCGAACTCGTCTCTTACAGATCAGAAGTGATGTGCTTTATCAAACTCCAATAAATAAATAAAGTGCTCCACAAACAGCTGGATCTCAATCAGTTAAGTATGTTGATTAACAAAAGTTCACATTAAAGAATATACAAATCATTGGCTTTCTAAAAGACACATATCTAAAAGATTTATGCTAAAAAATGTTTTAAAAGCTTCCATTTAATTATTTATAAGAAAAAACAAGGAATTCTGGGTAAAAATCGAATGATGGAGAATGATGTCTGAGCTGGTGTTACTTCTTGAACCGGACTCATTTTTAAATGTCGGCTTTTTTTTGTTGTTGTTGTTCTTTTTGTTTTGTGAAGCTGAAAACAAGGAGCTGAGACTTTTTCCACCTTGTTGAACATTTTAATCCTCTGGAGGACGGCAGGGAGGTGGCAGCACAGCAGAAACCATGATTTGCTCTGGTCTGATTTTTTTGTTTTACAAAAAACTGGAAACAAACTTGAAATGAGTCTACTTCTGCTAAATGTGTTTAGATTTTGATGACAAGTAAGAGCTATGCTAAGTGTGAGTCTTTCATGTTTGAGGAAGATTGAAACAAAATACCTATTTTACTTCATTTAAATCTGAAGTAATTAGTTCGGAATAAAAAAAATTACATATTACCAATAGAATGCGTTCCCACGCAATACTCTTGCGTTACCTCGCAATATCTTTGTGTTACCTCGCAAAACATTTTGCGTTACCTTGCAAACGTTTGCATTCCCTCGCAAAACTGTTTTGCATTCCCACGCAAAAGTTTGTTTTGTATATGAACTGCATTAAATCAGACTTTTATTTTGAAATATCCGGTTACCAAAACAGGATGTCTCACGACAAGTTTGGATGGATGGATGGATGGATGGATGGATGGATGGATGGATGGATGGATGGATGGATGGATGGATGGATGGATGGATGGATGGATGGATGGATGGATGGATGGATGGATGGATGGATTTGAGTTTGTCACACGACAGAAATGTGTGTTATTAATCACTCTTCTAAATTTGACTGATTAAGAACGTTGTTTACTTTATAAAATTAAGTCTCAAAAATAATGAAAAAACATCACTGGCTCTGTTCTGAAAATTCTGGGGGCGTGTCAACTGGAGGCGCTGAAACCACTCCCACGCGCTGAGCGTCACTGTGTCCGTGTCCTGTACTGAGGAGATGTTCGCGAAGGCTGGCAGCCTATTGGAGTTCTCCAAACCTACTCATTCACCAGGTGCATTTCCTCCGGGCGGTGCGCCGCAACCGGCTCTGGRTTGRCAAGGAAGGGCTCAGGGGCGAAGGTGGCTCRCGGTCTCGGCCRCGAGCTTTACAGCGCCCTCTCTGCACCGACCTCACCACTTCCCGGGGCCATGGACTCAGATCCTCGCTGCGCCCTCTCTCCCCGCGGGCGAGGGATGGGGCCCCTCTGCCCCCGGTGTGACTGTCGACCGGAGCRGACTGYTCTCAGTGCGCCCYCACCGYGTCGCTCCGCCCAGKYRGGGAGCGGCCCTCGTACAACGGGTGCAAGGGGTCAGTGGCGATGTCGGCTACCCACCCAACCCGTCTTGAAACACGGACCAAGGAGTCTAAAGCGCACGTGAGTCGTAGGGTCCCCCAAAACCCGAATCTTGCACTAAATAGCCAACACTTATAAGCACAAATAGCAACTTACTACATTTATTGGGTGGGGTCAGGTGCAAGAGAGGCAGCGATGTCGGGAGAAGAGTCGGGGGGGAGGCGGTCGGTAGAGCCTCATGAACCAGCACCAAACGACTGTCCATAAATTCAAACTGTCTCCAGGTAGTTAGTAAAACTATCTGGAGTAAAATGGGAATTGTTTATCTAGCCAACAACAACAAAATATCTATGCTATAGCTATCTGATGCTATCTGCGATTAGCAAGTGAACAGCAGCGGCGGAGGCGAAGAAGTTTTTATATTGCAGGAGCAGTAGGGGGCGGGGTTAAGCCGGGGTTATGTTCAAGGCGGCCGCGTGATGAAACACAGCCGCCTTTCAAAGCACGCCCAGAAAATCCTGAAACAAACATATCTTTAAACACAAATTGATCTATAMCTCCAAAATTAAAGTATCTACAGTTGTGAGACGTTTTACTCATTTACAACAATGCAATTGGGACATAATATGCATGTGTGATACTGGCTGGATGATCTGTTGGGGAAACTTTTGTGAATCTGACAGCAGAAAAAAACAACGTGTTTGGGATCATTTTCAGGCTCATACATTACAACAGRTTGTATTGTGGAGCTGCTCATTCAAAGTCATTCCATAAACAGTATCAGAAAGGAAGCTGACTATTCCAATTTTTCCAAGACTGCTCAATGAAAAATGACTTAATCTGTATTTTGATCTGAAATGTGAAATGAGCTTGAGACATTCCTATAATTGATACCAAAACATATATTTTTACATTATATTTTGCTTTAATATAAATGAATCAGTGCTTATCTTTTGTACGTTAGTCGTTGTTTTATTGAGACATCTTTGCTTTCCTAATAAATTGTTGAAGGGTTTTACAGTTCTGCAGTTCCACCTCCCTGCCAGCAGAGGCAGCACAACAACATACTGTGTGATCATTAATGGCCAGCGTAGCCTTTCACACATTCTCTCCATCATTCAGTCCTGCAAACGTCAGCTCGACCATCCCTCTGGTTTGGCGATCTTACAGCTTTAAACACTCAATTCTGTGTTTAAAGCGTGTGTTGCCTCTGCACGCAAGTGTGTAGTGGTGGCATGTTTAGGACCACTGGCAGGAGCAGTCGGTGGGCTCCTGGATGGTGTAGCTGACCCAGGTGGAGTTGCTGCTGCAGAAGAGCTGCACGGAGCGCCGCTGCAGCCCCGTCTCCCTGCAGCACTTACAGAAGCGAGCGTATGTGTTGATGTTGTAGTTGTAGATGCTGGCGGATGGACACTTCCCGTCACAGGACACGATGTTCACCTGCAGGCCACAAACAGTCACAGTGTTACTGCTGCTGGATTCATCTGCTGGTAAACTAGACTACTGTTCAGCTGAGGGACGTCATATTGCTGCTCACTACTGTCTTTAATATTTAATTTTGACTTTGTGTGTGTTGTTGTTGTTTTTTTGCATTATGTGACAGTCTCAGATTGGTGCTCAGCAACACAAATAACTTGTTAGAAAAGTTTTTTTATTGAGTTATATCCACCTCTCCTATAATGAGAGCAAAACTGTGAGCATCTGAGAGACTAACGACCTTTTCCTCCATCTGGTGTTTCTGCATACCACAAAATAGCAAGTGTGTATGCTCACCCTGTACGAGAAATGCGTCGCTTTCCAGTTTTAGTTACACTTGATTAAAACCTGAGAGCAGTCTGTCAGAACTTACGGGTCTGTTGCTGCGGCAGTCATTCTTCCTGATGGTCATTCTCACTGTCACTTTCTGACAAGACTTCCCGTCTTCTTTGCCTGTTCAGAAAAGAGATTTAAAAACAGACACTGTTGGAATGAAAGTAAAAATTAAACACCTCAGCATGTAGTGAAACACAAGTGAAAAGGAGAAAGGGTGATAGAGATGGGAGATAAATGAGGGGTCCACATGCAAATGTGCTTCTGCTATGGGTCGGTCTACAGATGGACACAGCACACACAAATGTTTTGTAATAAAGTCCACCATGCATTTTCTTTTGTAGACAGTGAAATCCCAGTGACAGTAAAGTGTGATCTGTTAGGATGAAGCCACAGGAGCCAACTCGTTACACCGATAAGTCTTGGGATACATTCTTGTGCTAAATAAAATGGAATGATTTATTGTTTAGGTGTTATGTTTATTACAGTAACAAGCCTCATTCAGACCTGTGTCCTTTCAAATTCTAAACTTGGTTAGAGAGGAAAAAAGCCATCAATCAATAACAAACTTAAACAAATGAACAAACATGTAAAGCTGTTAAATAGATCAGGAATTAACACATTGACATGAAGAGGAAAAAGGGAAACAAAAGAGAGGAAACCTTTAAGGGATAGGGTTTTTATTTTGGTGGTGTTATAGAGTAGTCATAGGCAGTCAGTTTTTAATTATTATTTGTTTTGCTTGTCTGCTTTTTGCCTTGTTGAAACATCTTTTTTTACGTTTTTGTATTTGTTTTCTACTTACGGAAGCGTTTACTTGATTTTATCTTATTGTATTTTTATTCTGTTGTGCAGCCCTTTGGTTGCCATTGGCTGTGTAAAGTGATACACAAATAAAGTTTTGATTGATTGGTTGATTGATTGATTGATTGATTGATTGATTGATTGATTGATTGATTGATTGATTGATTGATTGATTGACATCTAGAACAGTGGTGGGCTATCTTCGTCCTTGAGGACCTTTATCCTGCACACTTTTCTTGTTTCTCTGCTCCAACACACCTGATTGATTTTCCTCTTCAAGTTCTGCAGAAGCCTGATAATCACTCATTCATTTAAATTAAGATGTGTTGGGGCAAAGGAACAAATAAAACACGTAGAACAGTGATCCTCTAGGACCAGGGTTGCCCACCCCTGATCTAGAAGAATATAAAAAAGAGAAGAACTTTGGGGGCAAAGTTACAGCAGGGTGTGTTGTGATTAAAAGTGAAAATAAAGTTTCTGAAACCATTGTTGCACCCTTTGTATAAAAAACATAGATTTCCCTGTTAGATATGACATCATTCTCCCAAATGCTGGTAGAATATGACTAGTAATCATAATCAGTAGTATTAAATGGAATTAATGGACAGTGAGGCTCAGAGTCTGACAGAATCAGATTAACTTATGCAGTGCTTAAAATAAGACACCAGAATTGCTGCATATATCGTGCCATAAATATATTTTAATGACAAAAAAAAAATCAAAACATCACCATTTTGGTTTTCATGTAAAAGCATTTTCAGTTTAAAAAAGAAAACCTGGTGTTTGAGGAGGAGGCTCTGTCCTGCACTTTATGTGTCTTACTTATAAACATAATGTATTCATTACAAAGCTTTATTTTATATCAACCACTTTTTTTGTTTTGTTTTTTTGTTGTTTTTTTTACAAAAATAATTTCTATAATAATATGTTATCTTGTGATTGGGCCAATCTCCAGCAGACCCAAATTAAAAAAACCAAAAACTCGACAAACTAATTACATCCAACAAAAGCTAAAATCATCTGAAAAAAAAAATATCCTAAAGTTTGAGCTCTTCTGGTCAGGGAGGGATGCCAACATGTTACCTCTGCTTCATGTTATCATATCACCTCTCAGAGATGTTTGTCTGAACTGAACCATTTTAATAAGTTATTCTCTGTCTTGTAATCAAAGTAAATGTTTTAATTTTATGTTCTGAGTAAAGTATAAAATTAAAATACTGAATCTTCCATTTTCGCCATCAGAGTGAAACACAAAAAGAAGATTTAGTGCTTGTCATTTATTTTTTGTTTTTTATTGTGATCAGTTAGTCCAAAAATACACACAGAAGAACAGGAAAATAAGACTGGACTCACAGATGCCCCCTTCAGTAAGACACAGGTATGATGCTGATTTATATGAGATTAATAAAATTATATGTAATGTAATGATTGTACAAGAAAGTAAATTAGATGGTTTGTGTTGGATTTTTAACTCTGCCTCCATTTGCGTCTCTGCTTTTTGTTTAAACAGGAACAAATGTGAATATTCACATTATTTTCTTTCTAGATGTTTGTTTGTTTGTTTGTTTGTTTGTTTGTTTGTTTGTTTGTTTGTTTGTTTGTTTGTTTGCATTGGTCATGAGTCCCTGCTTCAAATTCCTATTGGGGTCTTCTTGTGTTGTGATAAAAATAAAAAGCACTTTTGTCATGAAAGTAGATACATCATGCTTTTCAATCTTTTTTTTTTTTTTTCATATTTAAATCATTCAGTTGGGGTCTTTATAAAGTGGAATTCCTCCTTTCTGTAACTTTACCAGCTCCTCTTTCATCCCTTTTCTGAGGTGTCTCTCAGATCAACTAGTTTTGATGCTGTTTCTTTAAATCCAAACAAGGTGCTTCATGCCCCACCTCCCTCTAGCTTCCGGTTCATTCTAGCCTGACAGAAGGGGTAACGTTTATCTAGGAGCCACAGTCTGACTGAGGGCCAGAGGAGAATGAAGACAACCAAATGGTAGWTGGTAAGTCCAGACCTTATTTAGAAGCACTATTGCAAATATTTTGATGTAATAGTTCAGAAAACATCACAGAAAATAGAGGAGTTGAAAAGTATGACCCAAACAGAATATAAAGATATCTGTAGATAAATGCCTTTATTGACTAAATAGTGGATTTTGCATTATATAGTCCCGTTCAAAAGTATTGGAACAACAAATTAAATTCTCTTGTTTTTATTGTTCACTGAAGATAGTCAGGTTTAAGATCAACACATGAGCATCACCCAAGAGTTCTGAATATCAGATTTTATTTCCTGGTTTTTTACATGTAGATGTGTTAAACAAATCAGAACATACCAACCTTTGTCTACATGTAAATACCAGGAAATAAAAGCTGACATTCAGAACTCTTGTCTCATGTTCATCTTTTGATTCTAAACCCAAATATCTTCAGTGAACAACAAAAAGAAGATAATTTGACTTGCTGTTCCAATACTTTTGGAGAGGACTGTATGCTCCCTTTAATATGTTCACTTTATTCTAAAGAAATGCTGATCAACAAAAGGATGTACAGTAGTGTTCAGTAATATGACATGACTGACTTTTAATCAGATGAGCCTATGCTCACACGTGGCTGGTGGAAAAAACCAGCCAACCAGTTACTCAAGCTCTAATGTTGACTGCTTACAATACTTCACACAACCAAAGCTAAAAATCCAGTTAAACTAAGTGAAAAGAAGGAATGTCAAAGGTTATGCTATAGTCATTTTAATGTTCATCACAGCAAAAGTAGGACAAAGCAAAAAATAAAAATAAAATAAAGAATTGGCACAAAGAAAGTGAAAAAGAGAAATACTAAGACTGAATTCAAAGTGAATCCTACTCTTGGGAGTCATTTGAAAAATTTGTTACTTAAAGGCACAGTGTGTAGGATTTTGTCAATTCTTTTAGCCGAAATTGATATAATCACTAATGACAATAATAAAAAAAACATGTCTAATCATTGCAGACAAAGACCTTGTTTTATTATTTTTACCTTATAAAAAGCTGTTTATATCTCCATGGTCGCGGGTCGCCGCTACAGGCAGCCGCCATCTTGCACCGCCATCTTGTCTACGAAGGCTCATGAAGAATAAACTACGGTGGCGGCGTCAAAAACGGTTTTAGTTGTAATACTATAAATGTAACATTTGTTGTCTGTCGTTGTAGCTGGGATAATTTTACTTATTAAAGCTCATAATCTTACCACTTGAAACATCACTAGCCCTGAAGCTGCTGGTAGACAGCGCGGTTGGAATTATCAAAATTTTTTGACACCTGAGAGACACCGTAGCAACTCCTTTGCGTTTGGAAGCGGGGGGTGGGGGTGGGGGGRGTACYAGGGAGGAWGATTCAACCACTCAACCACTAGATGTCGCTGAAAACAACAAATCCTACACACTGTGCCTTTAAGAGCAGAGAAGTCGGGTATGAAAATGTGTCGGTTCGGTGAAAAGACCCCAAACACTAAACCAGATCTGGAGCTACAGACACATGCAGGCGTCTACGGCTGACTACAAGGCCACTACCAACAGTACATTGTTGACAATCAACAATGCACTGCCAAGACAGTGCTAATGGGAAGGAGTTTATATGTTTGAATGATGACAGGGAGGGAACAGAACTAAAAACACGATTGTGTCCTCTCAAGTGTGACTTCATTTTTTTGGCCCTGATGTTGCTTTGTTTGTGTCAAAAATTAAAACTCCCAAAATAATGGCGTTCAGATGCAACAAGTGCAGCAGCACCATATTTATTTATTTATTTATTTATTTATTCATTCATTCAGATTTTGACTTCATAAAGGCTCAAAATGAAGCAGCAGCTGAGAGGGTGTTTCTGTAGAGGGGTGTAGGTTGCAGTCAGATTTGGGGCTTTTTTGTAGGTTTCAGTTATTTTTAAGGGGAGTACATTGTTGAATATCAACAATGGCACTGAGAAGCCTTGTTGTTGTTGTGGTACCTTTTTCACAGTTTGTGTTATCAGTGGGAGTCATTGGACTAACAGGGAAGGGGAACAGATGGAATCCAGTACCTGGTGGGATTGGTACATGATGGTAAGCGGCAGCACATTAACCACAAACCCACTTGTATTTCCATAGATGCTTTTCAGTGAGAGAGCTTCGTTGTTTAACTGTTAAACACACTGAAAAGCACTGACAAGTGTCTCAGATCTGAACAAGCAGCAGAAAAATGTAATGGAAAACAGCTGGGATCCAGATCGGAGTAAATTCAGTTCAAGATTTTGGACTAAAACAGAAAAACTGAAGAGCAAACATGTTTTAAACATGTGAAGCAGCAGGTGAAGGAGCTCTTCAGTGTCAGCTGCAGCCTACAGCTCTACACTAACTACTGAACTGCTGCTACACTCAGATCAAATACTCACACGTCTTGCAGCACCCATCCATGTAACTTACAACAGTTCCACCAATCTGAGTGCAAACAAGAGTCAACATGTTAAAACAGAAACAAAGATGAGTCAGGTTGGATGGAAACAAATAGTTTTTGAAGGTTGATATCTTTTCTTACACAGTTTTGGTCAGTGACTCTTCAGCCTTTAGAATGAGCCATCATTAACTTACTTAAACATTAAGGTTCTTAAAGGTTGCTCTTACAAAAATACAGATGTCTAAGTCGCTAAATTATTGCTGTTGTTAAATACTAAGAATACCATTAACTAACATAACCAGATGTCGATTAAAATGAACAAATACTGAATTAATTCATCTACAGTTTACTGGTTCAAATCATAAATATGCCAGATAAACAGCTAAAATCTTACTTTATGTCATTCAACTTAATCAAAGCTAGTGTTACAATCCCAGTTCTAATGAAACTTCCCATGAAAATTCCAACTTCATTGGAGTTGGGGTTAAAATCAGTCTATACTGTTTTTAACCCCAACTCCAATGAAGTTGGAATTTTCATGGGATCTAATCAGACTATACTATATAATAT